CTCTTACTTGAGCTAGGTAAATTAATTCTTCTTAAATATGGACGAATCCCCTGAAAATTCGTCCTTGACCCAGATTATTTCACCTGAAGATTAGCCATCCTAATGCTAGCTCGGGGTATTAGGCTGGGTTAGGTTAGGGTAGCGTTAGGGTAGTTGATCTTGAGGTGAAATAAGCTAAAAAGACGAATCTTCAGACGATCTTCAGATCTTACCGAGATTTGGACAGTCTGAATGACCGCCTATCAGTCTTTGGTGAAAATATTCGTGGAAAATTAGATCGAAGGGGAATTTTCTCTGTGGGTGACGGAAGACAAGAGATGTTATTATGAACGTGGAGTTATTGTAGCATCTGTCACACCTGTCCACCGATCAGTGACTTACTACAGTGTTGGGAGAGATTCTGACTGGAAATAGTTTTGTTTACTTTGGAACGACGAAGATTCACAAACGATGGTATCTGAGAAGTTTTTGACTGTCATATTATTTCCTTTAGGATTGTAAAGTCTTTTTGTCGTGAGTTTCTTGGCAAATTTTTTTCATATAATAATGTTTTGGCACCGTAAGATATACTGTTTATTTTTGGACTTTGAGATTTTTGCAAGTTCATTTTATCTTGTAAAGTGAACTCGTGTCTCTTGTATTTTATGATAAAAGACCTGTAAACCTAGTGTTCTGTTCTGACTCAGGAAGTTTTTCTTAGCAGATGATCATTTTTGGCAGCAATAAGTATAAAAAATACAGGTTTACTGTGAGCGTTAACCTATATGTTCTGTGTATTCTCGGACAAAGAAATCGTGTAGTATTTGTATCATGTTGAGACTGACAATATAGACAATCTTTTCTGCAGTCTAGGGCAACAAATTCTTTCATATCCTGTTTTTTTTTAATACTCGGGTAATCTGGATTATCTATCGTCAGTTTTGAAAATAAATTATCTTTAACACCGTGTATGACGGGAGGAAGTTTACAGAGAGATGGACGACAAGACTCAGGCAGCATTCAGGACACGAGCTTATTGTGGCATCTGTCTCGCCTGAGGACCCATCACCTAGTGTCTTACCCGGGTGTTGGGGAGGCTATTTGCACTCTGTAAATGGTCTCTTGTTTGTTGTGAGACGGTAAATTCTTGCTAACCAGTATTTTTGCTGATATTTGTGCAATTTAAGAGTAAATTACCTCCAAATTATACTTGTAAATTCAAATTTTTATATGGATTTTTAGAAATTCTAATTTTGCTGGCAGTTAGGTAACTTAGATTAGCTCTAGTTCGTTTTGAGATTGTAAATTCCTGTAAATTTCGATTATGTGAGACATTTAACAACTTTCTCGATCCATAATGAGCAACAAGAGTCTCGCAGAATATAGTAGTTAGCTAAAATTCGGGCAGTTTACAGTATATGATCTTTTGAGTACAAGGTCAGGCAACGGGAGCGATACAGGGACGATAAATAATGTCTACTTTAGTGGGGTTTATGAGCTGCCATTATTCATTCAAATGCCCGTCTCTCCTGACTTGACTGATAATGTTTTCCTCAAATAAACATCGCCTTTGAAGTGTGTCTTAACGAAAAATATTACCTCAATTCGTGGTCACCCTTGTAACTGTATGAAAACAGATGTGTGTTTTGAGTCTGAAGACCTACTGGTGTATAATCAGGTTGTCTGTGATGCGATATACGTTTAGTTACGTAAACTGAGAACTTTAGTCATAACAAACACAATATTTCAAGAAGGAATTATAATGCTGTGTTCCTTTATGCTATGATATTATCGCTTATAATATCACCTGAAACAGTTTACACATATACGAAAAACATATTAAATATGTTTTATAATTCTATAATTATAAAACATGTGATATAATCTTCATTTTATTTCATAGCAGCAATTTCTAGCGTAATAATGTTTGTTTCAATTATACGAAACTGATCATTATGCAGTTAATTTCACCCGAGTGTCATCATACTGGACGCGATGCACACTGACAGTCTCTTACGCTCACTGATTTAATCTCATTTATGGTGTGTGTGTGTGTGTGTGTGTGTGTGTGTGTGTGTGTGTGTGTGTGTGTGTGTGTGTGTGTCTCAACTTCTCACGATAAGAATCAACCACACGAAGCATATATATGAAGAAAAGCTTGAAATCCAACTAAAATGAACAATAGCAGAACATTATAGTAAGATCCACCCAGAGAGTAGCTGAGCCAGGTACAGAGGAGAGGAGAGGAGAGGAGAGGAGAGGAGAGGAGAGGAGAGGAGAGGAGAGGAGAGGAAAGGGGGGGAATAGAGGAGAGGAGAGAGTTCATCTAGTAACATTAGTCACCGTTTTTTTTTAATATTTACTATAATTTTAATCGTCATTTTAGCTAAAACCCACAAATTAGATTTGTTCAAGTACGATAAAATTACGATATATGTTTACAATACGAATATATGAGAATCATTGGGTCCGAATTCATAAAGATTCTGTATGTTAATGAAGTCCCTTAAGTGATATCAAGGAAGCATATCTAGTGAAGGTATAGTCTCAGTGTAGTTTTGATGCCATGATATTATTTTAGTATTCTAGCTTAAACTCAGCCATTGAAGTGAATTTTGAAGTTAATAGTTAGTAAGATAATTGGAAGATAAGATTTGGAAATATTATCATGTAATTATTTTGTCCTTTAATTAGTTCAAGAGAATGTATCCAGTTTAAGTTGAGTCTTAGTGTAGGTTCAGAAATCCAAATCATCCAAGTTGCTCAAGTCATCAAAGTCATCCAAGTTATCCAAGTCATCCAGGTCATCCATCTCTTCGAATACGTCCTCACATCATCAGTTTAGAATCAACTTTAAATTACTATCATTTGAGAATAAGTGAAGGCGACAGAGAGAGAGAGAGAGAGAGAGAGAGAGACTCAGTAAATGATACAAGTTTTCTAAGTTACTTATCAGTGGCCCCGTGATGCTCCTCGCTCCACCTCTTCTTTGTCGCTCTCAGATAAAACGCTTTTATCCTCTTTTTATGATAGAGTGAACGCCGCGGTGAATGATGGCGCGTTTTTATATCTATATAGGATTAGGTTAATTTTTTTTTTCAGTGGGTATTTATATATTTAGTGTGTCCCAATGTCCCATGATGAGTTTATTTTTGAGGTAATTTAAAGTTAAAATTTTCATATGAACTTGGGTCCAGTTTTCAATGGTTAGGGAACTATGGGTATTATTTGATGATGATGATGAGTAATTTACATAGAATTAAACTGTTTTAATGAGTAAATTTTATAGAATATTCAAAATGGCCGTCTTCAGCTTCCATATGTGTTAAAAATGAACAGAAATTGAACTGCTTTGTTGAATTCAAGATGGGCTTTTCTAACACGCACACGCACACACACACACACACACACACACACACACTCAATAAATATATATATAAAGAGAATTCCATGAACCATCACCCAATTATACCTTGAATTGATTTCTTGCCTCGACTTTCCCTTTCCCTCTTCCACCCTTTCCTTTCATCTCCCCTCTCACTCATTTACTCATTTTTCCCCCTACCCACCCTAGTGCCGACTCTACCTCTTGCCAACGTACCCAGCTCTTTAAGGTCAGCCTACACCTTCTATAGCTGGGGTCGCTTCACTACCTGCCCTTCGGTGTAGTCTTGTCTCCTCATCACCTCCCCTCTTCTCCTCTCCTCTTCACCTCTTCACCTCCTCTCTTCTTCTAAACATTGACTCTCGCTTCAGCTGTCAACGATTGCCTCTTGGTTACTTTGTGTGTGTGTGTGTGTGTGTGTGTGTGTGTGTGTGTGTGTGTGTGTGTGTGTGTGTGTGTGTGTGTGTGTGTGTGCTCTCTCTCTCTCTCTCATTATTTAAATTTTTATCTCTATCTCTCGTTATCTCTCTTTACCTCTCTCTTTTATCCTTACTCTTCTCTCTCTCTCTCCTGTTATACTTCTCGTGCATGGAAGCTGTGAGAGATTAACATACACTTTAACTAATCATCACAGTAAGCTATTTCATTTTTCACATAAATTTTTTTTTATCTCATACCTGTGGGTCTTTTTAAGGTAAAATTTGAAGTATTGTCTTAACAGGAGTCTAATAAAGCCTTTCACTTTAAAGGAACATTTAAAGGATTATATCGAATTTTAAGAATTATTTAAAATATTATGTTATCTCTAAAGTGACATTTTAACTTATCCCATCTCTTGTCAACATATTTAAAGGGTTAATTACCTTTAATAAAGATATTAAATCATTTTATCTCACTCACACAAAAATTTAGACACGCGACCATTTTAGAGCGAGAATTAAAACACGCAATAGTTTAAAAAGTTAGAGAATTTAAACACATCACCATTTTAAATCATTCCTTTAATTTCCTTTCCATTCCAGTCTTCCCAACACCTCCCTTTCCCTTCCTTCCCTCCATCTTGCACTTCATCTTCTCCTCCTTTCCCTCTCCTCCCCTTTCTTTCCCATCCCTCTTACACCAATCATTCCTTTCCCTCCTCTCCTCTCCCCGTCTTCCCTTACCCTCCCCTCACCCCCCCAAAAAAAAATATATCACAAAGGACATTATGAGACGATTTTTCATTCCAGGAGGGTCGAATTATCCATTTCAATTGCACGGTCAAGTTTGTATTTTTAGAGGGACTGAATTTCGAAATTTCCGGATATTTTTGACGTATCGACTCGAGCGAACAGTGAACGATACTCTCTGGTAAATATTCCTCAACTGATCGTGTTTATTTTCTTTCTTTTTTCTTTTGACCTTTTTTCTGAATGACTGGATATTGGATTTGGTTCTGATTAAATTGGACTGTTAGGTTTTTTTTCCCACGAGGGTTGTGTTTTTAAAATGACTCAATTTAGGTATTTCTAGTTAATTATTTATTTATATTTTTTTTAATAGAGTGATTTTAATGGTTTGTGAACATTACTTTCTGGGGATATATGTTTTTCTTTTAGTTGATTTGACTTTTAAACGACGATACGTTTCGGATTCTTCAATATTTCAGAAGCATCGATTTAACCAAGCTGTGGGCAATATCTTCTTCTTCGTCTTCTTCTTCTTCTTCTTCTTATTCTTCTTCTTCTTCTTCTTCTTCTTCTTCTTCTTCGGTATGTATCCTTTAAGAATTTTCCTGTTTCAGTAATTTATCTTTAGTCTCCGTAATTAGCCTCTCTCTCTTACTCCGTCTTTCGTTTCTTCCCCACTTGTCTTATTCACTGTTTCCTTCGTTTTTTTCCCCTATTTAACTAATTGGATTTCCTTATTCCCCCTCTCTTCTACACCTCTCTTGTTTATTGAGTATCTCTCTTTCCATCTCGATCGCTACTTGTGTGAAAATTTGTGGTCATTGATTTTCTTGTCTTCAACGGAATTCATCCTCTTATCGTTTATCGCCTCTTTACCACTTCCTTCCTTTATTACTTGTTTCATTGCGTGTGTGTGTTTTTTTCTTGAATATTTCCCCTTTCTATTCATCTCTCTCTCTCTCTCTCTTTATTCCTTCATTCTCTCATCGTCTTTCTCTTCACCATATTCCTCTTCTAGCGTTCTCTTTTTTATATCTCTCTCCTCCTCTCCTTCAATCATCGTTCTCGCTCTCTTTTTAATACGTGTTTCTCCATTTTGCTTATCTCTCTTTTCGTTCTCTCAGTCCCTCCTTTAGTTATCTCAGCAACATATTCTCACATTCTCTTTTTGTTTACCCCTTCTTCCTCTGTTTCCTCCTACTTCGCCATTCCTTTTAATTTCCTTCTCTATCCGTCGTTGATTCTTATTTTTCTTCTCATTCCTTAGTCTCCCCCTTTCATCTCTCTCTCTCTTCTACATCCTCCATCTCTGTCTACTGAATTCCACTTTCTATCCTCTTCCCCTCTTCTCCCTCTCTCTTCATTTTCCTGCCCCTTCCCATTTCCACTCTCCCTATTCCTGTTTCTTTGCTCCTCCACCTAACCTAACCTAACCTCCCTCCCTCCCTCCCACTCTACTTACAGATACTGCTGAAGGAAGTATTGAAGACATCAGGCCCAGGGTAGGTTGAATTGCCCTGATATTGCCTTCCAAACCCTGTGCCAAGTCGTCAAGGGGCCGAATAACTCAGGTGATGGGGGAATTTCCCTTCCTTAAATCCCCTCTTAGTAGATTTTACCCGATTAGGGATTAACCTGGTGGTCCTCGGCGGGAAATCTGGGGGAATTTGGGGTAAATTTTCGGATGCAGGGAAGAATTTTTTTTTCTTGCTTTTATTATTATTATTATTATTATTTTTGAGAATTATGAAGAATAGTTGAGTTACTAAAGACTATAATAAACATGTACACGATTATACATCATTATACATAGTCGTACTTGCATCTAATATACACTCAAACACACGCACACACACACACACACACGCACACACACACACACACACACACACACACACACACTAACACGTCGTAATGGTCTGCCATATCAATTCACCCATTTGATGAAATTATTGCTCATACAGGATTTTGCCATCGCGGGATTTATCCACCGGTTGAAATACGTGAATCATAATGTAATTGACCAAATGTATGTCGACTAATTTCTCGTATGATTTAATGGAAGGTATGATTTTAGCTGTCAGACATCCGGTTGAGAGAAGTGTGTGTGTGTGTGTGTGTGTGTGTGTGTGTGTGTGTGTGTGTGTGTGTGTGTGTGTGTGTGTGTGATTTATGGGGTGGTGTAATGCGTCTAGTGTGGCAGCATTATATTTAGTGTTAAGGTGCAGGCACTGTTTGCTTCCGCTCGTTTTCAGCTACCGCCTGGCTACCATCGTGGCGAACAGGGAAGCAACTGCGTAAGTCTTCTGCCAGTATACAGCCTCTTCACCATCAAGACTCCTGCAGTGCCTCCTCGTGGTAACACGGTAACTGGGTTACTCGTGGGCCAGGCTGAACCAGCAGGGATCTCGGAGCAGCAGTGGGCCAGAGAGACGGCGCATAGGTCTACTGGCATATGGACACGTTCTGACTCTACCAACCTTGCCCTGCTGCCTTGCGGATTAACCTTGGTAGGTATAAGGTTATGGAGAAACCCCGAACGAAGAATCTGTAGTGAAGCCCACATCAGGCAGACATGCTTACAGAGATCCAGTAAGACCCCAACGATGATATAGCTGGAGGTGACCAACAAGGAACCAACGACTATACGGGTGGATGAAGCAATGTAAAATGGTGTCGTTGTTGCTCCGAGACTCAACTGTAAGCAGACGCCACCATCTCCTCTCCACATACCAGGAAAAATACAACATACGACCCCCTGAGAATTATAACCATGCCTGAGAGAGATCCATAACTTGGAATGTGTCTCCAGGCAGTGACCCAACCTCTGACACGGTGATACATGGCGCGTGATACATGACACGGTGACATATACTATTCATAAAAGAATGGGAAAAGGAGGAGAAAAGGAGGACCAATGAAAGAGAGAGTCTTCTTCTTGCAAGGCAATTCTCCACACTCATCCCATTCCTTTTCTATGACCCTCGTTCCAAACTCTCACAAATTTCTTATATTTAATGTGTTTTTTTCCACCTTTGACTCACTTCCTTTCTTCAATCTTCATTAATTTTAACTTTGACCTGCCTACATATATCGTGAAGTCTTTTGCCAGACCCAAGAAAGAGATGAGAGAACGGGTGATAAAGTTGGGGGTGGCACAGGTTGAAAGGATATGTCGCCTATAGGAACCATTGATGTGCAGTGAGAGGATACTATGGTGGCAATTGTTTTATTGGGGAAGAGCCAGATATTTTTTTTTTCTATTGGGTATTTGGCTTATTATTTCTATACCATTTTCTCTATTAGTCTCGTTATACCTCTTCTTTATATTTCTCAATTATTTCTTTTATTTCATTTGCTCGTAGTGAGTTATCTCAAATCAGTGATTGATTGAAGAGCTATTTTTTTTTATTGTCTCTTAAAGTACAACAACACGCATGTGTACTGTCCCTAACACACACCGTCACTTATTTTACACTCATTCACACACACGACTTGCTGACACTCTTAGTCGACAGCCTCTATGGTCACTCTCCACTGTCACCTCCACAGTCACCTCCACACTATCACCTCCACACCATCACCCTCCACACTATCACCCTCCACACTATCACCTCCACACTATCACCTCCCACCTCACCCTCCACTATCACCCTCCCACACTATCACCTCCACTACTCCACCTCCACTATCCCCTCTACACTACTCCACCCTCACTATCACCCTCCCACCCTCCATAGTCACCCTCTACTGTCACCTCCACAGTAACTTGACATACACGTCCTATCGATCTCATTATAAGTACTTTAATAAGTTGTCGCAGTCCTATGTCGCCAGGTAAATCCACACTGATTGCTTTTATGCGTTTAATAATTCTGGGATTTAAATTTAACTTTCATTATTTTCAAGAACATTGAGATCATTAGTAGGTGAACTGGTCTATTTATAATACATTTATACATAAGTTTGGAGAATATTTCATATCTGTCTGTCTGTCGATATCAGCCCCGATATTTCACTCTAATATAAATTTCCGTTGGGATAAGTTCGATTAATTTAGAGGGTGGTTAAGGTAAGATGGGTTAAGCTTAGGTTAGGTAAGGTTAGGATGATAGGTTGGGTTAGGGTTTGGTTAAGGATTAAGTCAGGTTTCTCGTCCGGGTGCAGCAATTTTCGAGCCATCACTTATATTTGTCCATATCTTCTTCTTCTGCTGTATAATTTCACTTTCTTTGTCTGCTAAACTTGGTGCTTGTGTTATCTTAATCACACACACACACACACACACACACACACACACACATTTGCGTCATCACTTCGTCATCATCAACGTCGTAGGTGAACGTCCCTTTCATCATACCTTAACACACACAAAGCGCTTTATAAAACATGAGAATGTAAAAAAATAATATTTAGATAACACTCCAAATAACGTAATAATAAGACGCCCAATATAATAACAATAACAGGTGCGCTACAAACAAAAGTCATGGATCTGTAAAATTACGTCACATCAAGAGGTCATTAGCGACGTACTACCATGCGTCATGCTTACTAGCGTAATCCTGCCTTATTAGACCGAGCAACGACACGCGCAAGTGGCAGACGTCGTTAGTATGTCCTATAATTAGTGGGAATTTATAGCTGTTCCTGGCAATTAAAGGATGTCATGAATTTGGGGCATATATGCGGTGTTGGAAGGCGAGAAAGGGTTGTGGCATTCGTGGTGGTGAGTAGTAGTGATGGTAGTGATGGAAAGGTGGTGAGTGTTAGTAGTGGTAATAGTGGTGGTGGTGGTGGTGGTAAAGTAGTAGTGGTAATGTAGTGAAGTGAAGTATTGGTAGTGGTGGTGGTGTGGGAGGTAGTGGTAGTGGTAGGAGTGGTGGTAGTAGTAGTAGTGTTGGTAGTAGTAGTAGTGGTGGTAATGGTACTAGTGCTGTATGCACGATGGTTTAATGATGGTGGTAGTAATTGATAGTAGTAGTGGTGAGTGACTGGTGGTAGAAGTAATAATGGTGGTGTGGTAGTGGTGGTGGTATTGGAGTAGTAGTAGATAGTAGTAGTAATTAGTGGCAATTATATATAATATCCTTGTCGAGGAAAATGATTGTCTCTATTCAAGTTGCCAGTTAAATAGTTGTACTCATCAAATCTCGTTATCGTACTCAAAGTTTAAGTAACAATACTCAAGAGGTTTAACCTTATTATGTTATAACAGCACTTCAGCATCTTGGTATTTAACGTGTAATAAGGTAGGAATTATTCTGCATCAACAGTTACAAATTATAAGATAAAACCGTGTTGTCAGGGGCTAAGGAGATTTGACCTCTGCTTCGTGACCAATTTATCTTAATGAGCTGAATACTTAACGAGCACAGATCACGGGATTCCATCATCCCCCACTAGGGTCCTCAAACACCTGGCAATTACATAGCCATAGTCATGGTTGGTAGGTTTCCTTCTCTAGATAAGAATATGAATGATGACCTTTACCCGCAACAAGAAGAACTATCAGCTGAACCAAGTCTGTCAGTAGGCGGACGACAACACGGATCAGATTGAAATACTTGGACATGGAATTTGACAAAATAAAATATAAAAGTCACTTAGTCAGTCTGGTTCAGGACCTGGCTATCCAAACAAGGATAAAACAGTAATTATAGAACAACAGGATCACCTGAAGATTAACCCCAGTTTGTTTCACCTGATGATTAAACTCCAACGCTAACAGGATTAGGTTGTTGAGTTAGGTTATATTATGCTCAGTTAGATTAGCGTTAGGATGACAGCCCTATCTAGATGATCCGAGACTATCTACAACACTGTACAGGAAAAGCTGCAGTATCCTACACGTAGTCAGTCCTCTCTTACCTAGTAGACCCTCTGACAGGCGTCACTGTCTCACCTCTGCCCTGGACCCAGGTTGAGGAGCGAGCTAAGACTACTCGCAGGTTTGGGAGCTGGACAGAGACAGAGGACTCTTGGTGAATCTACCTCCATGTCTGCCTCAGAGTACCACAGTGACCACCACAGGACTCACCAGCTGGCCTCTATGGTCAC